ATTAAAAATCATTTACTGTTAAATTTATGTGATTAATTCAAATTTTTATAGGTGGTAAAGATTATTCATTCATTGAGTCAGCAAAGGAATTTGGTTTATACTTAACCACACTTGTTAAGGAATGTAACAAAGAACATTCTTGCTGTTAATGATTCTTGACATATGTAATACTCCTCATTTTTGGAGAATCCAGTGAGCATTGATTCAACTATTGTCTCAAATTAAACTCATTGTTTCTTGGTATCTCTGAAACCATAGAGTATAATTTGATGTTAAAATGTTAAGGAAAATTCTAAAGAGGCAGAGGTAGAAATTGCATATTCATAGAGATAGCTCTGTAGATGATAGCATTGTCTGAAAACAGAGGTGAGCAATATGTTACACAGATAGTTAATCAATTGTATAGACAATTTTAGCCATATACAGGACTCTTACAGCCCCCTTATTCTGCATCAAAGCAGACATAACCAATTGATCACAGATTTTTTCAAACTGAGTCTTGATTGGAGTCTTTATAGGTTTAGAGAGCTCTATCTATGCTATGAATACCAATAGGTCAGTATTGGTACAGACAAAATGAAACCTCCACCCTATCTTGGAGTAAAGGGTAGATTTACAAAGTTTCAGACAAAAAAACCACCCTTATTCTTAATAACATCAATATACAAGTAAAGATGATAAATAAATCAATAACAAATAAACGTAGATGTTAGCCTCCTTTCTCGTATACTGCTTTCCTTGATCATTTGGCCCTTTGTTATTTCATTACTTATTCATTTGACTGGGAAAAACACCCCCCCCATTCTTTTTTTTTTTTTTGTTTTTCAAGACAGGGTTTCTCTTTGTAGCTTTGCGCCTTTCCTGGAACTCGCTTTGCAGACCAGGCTGGCCTCGAACTCACAGAGATCCGCCTGCCTCTGCCTCCCGAGTGCTGGGATTGAAGGCGTGTGCCACCACTGCCCGGCTAACACCCCCCCATTCTTATGTGCCCATGCTAGAGGCATAAATAAGTATATAAACTGTACTTGGCTTCTCCTGCGAAGTATGTAGTATAGCATAGTTAGAGAGGCACAATCTAACTGTATGTCATGTTCCCCTTAAAAGTGATGCAATCTCTTGAGCTTTTTCTTTGTTTTAGAAATGAAAATACACTTAAAATGAAAAAAAAGTGAAAGGAGTATATTTCTTTCTAGGGTTGCAAACCCATTTCCGATTTCAAAGAAAGCTGCAGGGGGAGTTTTGCCAGAGAGCTCAATTCTGTAGGAGACAGAGGATAAGATATTAACATCAAAAACCAATTACTAACTTTTCTCCATCTAACTGTTCTGTCTGGGTTAATCTTCCCTTTTCTAGAAACATGGAGAACAGGGAAGAGATTCTGTGAGATTAAAAAGGTGAGAACTCAGTAGGGTGTTGTGCACAGTTCTGTTTATTCACCACATTACTGAGGGTGAGCATCACTGCAATGAGTGGCCTTCACTTCCCTCCCTTCCAGGACGGTTTTGAGGACTCATAGTTCAGTGTTTGGATAAGGAGCATGGTTTAGGGTACCAAAGGCCTAAATACAGGTATTAGCTCATTGTTAGGAGTTTCTTATCTCTTGATCCCAGTATCCCCATTTATACAATGAAGAGATTAAAGGTAGTTTCTCCGAGGAGTGGCTGGGAGAATTAGGATAGCTGGGCCACAAAGAGCAACCAGCACCAGGCCTAGGTATGGCAAGGGTGACAGATACAATGTGTTCTCATAACTGGCAATGTCTGGCTGTGTCAGATTCCTGTCATCGCTGTAGTGAATCACCACAAATCTAAAGGCTTTTAATAACACAAATTTGTTCTTTTATGGTTCTAGAGGACAAAAGTCCTTGCCTTTATTTTATTTGCCATTGCAGTAGTCATTATGCACTGTGCGTGGTTATATGCTCTATTTTTATGCAACTAACAGTGCAGTTGGTTCCCTGTATTTTCATTGTCATAGACATGACTAGGCTATGGCATTAAAATGGTTACAGGAAGAGTTTTTCAGCTGTATCACACCTTATGAAACCACCACTAGGTATGACCTTTGCCATTGCCAGAATTATGTGGCATATGACTGCCTTGTTTTTTATTTAAATTTTTAATTTTTTTAGACTTTCAAAATTGGGTACTATGTTTACGTCATTTCTACTCTTTCCTGTCTCTTAACTCCTCCCATGTTCCTTCACTCTTTCTCAAATTCATAACCTCTTTTTCCTATAATTATTGTTTTACACACATACAACACACACACACACACACACACACACACACACACACACACACTGACCAACTACATCCATTTAGTGTTACTTGTGTGCATGTGTGTAGGGCTGAACTTGTGGGAATGTATAACCTATCAGAGAGCTTGTCCCTAAAAAAACCCTGATTCTTCCCTTTTTTACAGCCTTTGATTGCCTATAGCTCTTTATATGGGGTGTGCACCTTGGGAACTTTCCCTCATGCACTTTGGCATGTCAACTGGTGGTATCATTAGGTAGGTCTTGTTTAGGCAACCATATTGTTGAGACTTCATGGGATCAGCATCCCTAGCATGCCTGGAAGAGACCATTTAGCAGCAGACTTCTAGTCTTCTGGCTCTTCCCACCCCACCCCCCTCTTCTGCAGTGTTCCCTGAACTTTAAATATGGGGATTGGATTGTAGATGTACCAATTGGAGCTGTGCATCCCACATACACTTATTTTCTGCATTTTGCTCAGTTGTGGATCTCTGTAATAGATTCTATCTGCTGCAAAAAAGGAAGTTTGTTTGATGAGGGTCCACTATGAACTACACTTATCTCTGGGTACTAGGATAAGTATTTAGAATATAGTTAGAAACTATATTGCTCTAGGAAAATTGAAGTAGTATGTTCTCCTTTAAGTTATACAACCTCTCTAGCCATGGGTAGTTAGCTATATTTTCCATTCTGGGTATGAATTATTCCCTCCTATTGTGTGGATTTTAAGTCCAGTTAGACAGCTATTAGCTCTACCCAAGATAAAAGTGCTATTGTTGCAGTACTGGTGATATCTTGCCAAGCTGATAATTTGTAGTTTGTAGGTTTTACAGCTGGGTAGGACTATTGATTGCTTTTCTCCTTTGGGATCTTGCATACTACTTTCTGATAATATGATAGCAAGTTCTTAGGAAAGAGACTTCCAGGTCAGTACCAACTCAATTCCTCCAAATCCTATGTCTGAAGTGTGTGGTGTCTTCAATGATAGTTCTCACCTTCAAGCTCTGGGAAGCAACCAAAGACAACAGCAATTTCCTGTATTGTTTGAGGAGTCTGTTGGACCCACATGAACAACAACTCAAAGTGAGGTTCCCCTTGCTTAGCACTGGGTTGTTTCTAGATAGTCTGTGACTGTTACAGGGAACATTATTGCCCCATATGGCATAACTCCATTAAAACTGCATCTAAAATATATTTATAACTAAGCATTTAGCATATATTTCCCTGTGGCTGTGGTCCCTTCCTCTAGTCTAGGTTACATTTTTACTATTACATGGTGAGAGTCTCTGACTCCTTCCAGAGGAAGGAACCGAAAGAACCCTTGTGATGATATTGGCATCACAATAATTCTATGTTCAAAATCCTTAGTAATATCTTCAAAGTTCCCTTTGCCAAATAAGGATAAATCAGCAGTCATGGATTCAGGGCTTACGGGCTGTGGGGACTGTTACTGAACCTACTTCAGTGACTAATCAGACTTTTGAACCCTGTTAAAATAATCTTCATATTGACATAATGCAGAGTGGTAGCATCAATTCTGAGGACATGAGGACTTGAGAAGCTAAACAAACAAAGCATTTAGGATAATCTAAGGGTTTTCTGTATCATCCATCCAGTCCTTCCCCTCTATCCTATCTGTAATTGCCCAGTCAGAGGATATAACTGAGCAAGGCAGACTAGAAGTACATGACTCCAAATCCAGGTCACATTCTTGCTCTGCACCCTGATATCTGGTGCATTTACCATGTGAGATCTTATAATTTTCCTGGGTGTGCCCCCCAAACCGTTTCCTAATATAAGGACTTCTGTCTTATAATTCTCTGAAAGGTGACTCCAGGAAGCTCAGGGATGAGGAAATGGGAAGAAGCTGCTCACCTGTATGTTAGTCAACAGGTTTCTCCAGTTGTTCATTGGATAACTGATGGGATCCAGGAGACAGTGCAGAACATGCCTTAGAGATATCCCATCTGAGGGGAGTAAGTTCTCCTTCTGGCAGAGGTCTGAACCGAGACATTATCGTTAGCATTTCCAGACATTACTCCAGTACCTTTCATGGCCAAGATGGCTATAGGAAAGTGTTTCAAATAGCTAGGATCTTACAAAGAATGTTAAGGGCCATGGGATATAAATGGAATTGATCTCTCTGAAAACAAGTCCAGAGTATTCACTTTTTTCTGGATATTTGTGATATCAGTCGTGTGTTAAAGTAGCTATTACCTGCCTGACACAACACAATTGCTCAATATGTGGGTGTCTTCTAAGTAACCATGATATCAAAGTTTCCCTTTGGTTTCTCTTTGGGAAGATCATCAAGAACCTCTGAACTCTGAGGGTTTTGTTGTTGTTGTTTTGTCTTGTTTTTGTTTCATTTCATTCTGAAGTCAAGGAGGAAGGCTAACTACACTATCTCAATGTGACTTCTTAGAACTCACAACCTGATGATAAGCTAATACTTTATGGTTTCATTGCTCATATCCTTTGACATTAGAATTTCTCTCTGTCCTGTACACTGGTGGCCATGAGCTGACTGATTCAGTAATGTGTGACTCTTAGCTCATTTGTGACCAGCTCTGAGGATGTTTTGATGTTAGGATTACAACTCAGCTGACAACTTTATGACTAGGTGTCCAATGAGCAAAGCCTCAGATAAGCATCATCACATATAAAGCATCCACTTAACATTCTTTAGCAAGTGTACTTGCAGAGAATTTATGACTATTTGGTAAATTTGACTGTGTTCTAGGTCTATACTTTGAGGATTCTGAACAGCATCCTGTACAAGACAGTCAATGAAGACCATCATGAAAGTTCCAGGCACAGTGTTCTGCCACTCATCAAGCTCATTCCAGGAATTGAGGATTCCTCAGTGTTCCTGGCCGAGCACAGGATTCTTGAGGACTTTAGCTAAGGTCACCATTCCCAAAAGTGAAGCCTATAAAATTAACGGGGTTCTGTGCTTCAGTGAAGCAATTATAGGAGCGTCTCTAATATATTTCTGTGAATCCATGTATAATGAATACTTTAATTTCACTAATGAGAGCCTGCTTTTAAAAGGGCTCACTGGGCTAAATAACAGCACTAATTTCATCAACAAAAATGCACATCTGACTTTCAGTGTGTTGACTGGAGAAACATTGCTTGTAGGTGGAGATACAGATCACAGCAACCACAGCAGGCAGTTAGAGATCTTCCCAGATCTGCACTCTTGGTTAGGGTCTCAGCAGCACCAGGTTATTTCCTTAGTAAGAAACACATAGTGTTACATTTTACTGCTGAAATTTTGGAGTTTTTCTAGTTGTGGCAAGATATGCATTATGTGAAATTTACTACTTTAGACATTTTAAGTATAAAGTTGTGGCATTAAGTACATTCATATTGTTGTCCATTACCACCATGTAAAAGTGTCTTTGTTTTTCCCATACTGATACTCTGAATGTTATACCCATGAAACAATAAAAATCATGGCTTTCTATTTCCTTGTCCATCTAGCTCTGAAAAACCATTATTTTTCTTTGCTGTGTGAATTTGAATGCTCTTCCTGCTTACAAAGGTGGAATCACCAAATACTTGTCCTTTTCTCTTAACAATAACACTAAGGTTCACCCACGTAGTAGCGGGTGCTAGAGTTTCATTTTAAGGCCGAATACCATCCTGCTGTATAATGTGGGACTTTTGTTGTCTCTTCCTCAGTTCACAGACATTTCCCGTTTCCACCTTTGAGCTACGATAAACAGTAGTTGCATAAACAGTGGCATAGTTATATAAAGTGTAATAGTCTCAGTAGATTACGGGCATAAACGTTTGGTGCTTTTTCTAGAAACCTAAGGAACTTGGCCAGAAGTGGGTACACATGCCTATAATACTAGCAACTTGAGAGGCTGTAGCAGTATGGTTCCTGTGAGTTTGAGACTAGCCTGTGTGTTTGTGCTTCTGTATGAGCCTGTTTGAGTGTGGTCCTGCCTCTTTAAAAACAAACTAAGGAACTGGGCAGATAATACAAGCAGATATTGCCTGATCCTTCAGTGCTAACGCAGCTTATTGAAGGCCTTGAGGCTTCCTTTATACTTTTCTACAGGTGGAAAAAATGGCTTTTAAATAAGATTTAGAAGGAACCCACTTGAAAGTCATGATTTGGTATCATAAAGCTGAATTTATATTTCATCTCCAAACTACATATTAATTACACCATTCATAATTCCCTTATATGGTATTTTCATCCCACAGACATCAGGTGAGTTCCCACAGCTATTTTGGTGACTCTACTTGGGTTCCAAGATGTAGTTGCAAACAGCATTATACTCTGTGTCCCCTACTTCTTCATCACCGAATGCTGAAATGTCCCCTCCTCTTCCTCACTACCTCAAGGGCAGAATGCCTCCTAGATTTATAACTTCCCTCTGCAAGGCCATGCCTATGAGAAATGTCTGCCCTGAATGTGATGAAGGCCACAAAGGAAATGCATGAGTTACATGTTGGTGGAGACTGGAGAGCTTGAATTCTACGTACAGTGGAAAGTTTCTTTAATTTATATATGTGAGTTCATGTGTTTGTAAAATTGAGATATCTGAGGCCCAGGCCCTGTGCTCCCTGGGATGCCCCCAGAAAGCCTCTGTCCTTTCCTTGACATACTGGGAAGCAAGTAGAATTCCCAAACAATTAATTCCTGGGTTCCGCCCATTTTTCTCCCATGGATGGACTGCAAAGAGTTGGAAAAATTGGTCTTAGGCCTCAATCATACACCAAGGCACTCATGATATTGGTACCTACTGTGTGCTAAGGGCTAAAAATACCTTGGTATTATAATTTGAATGTGAAATGTCCCCCCACAAACTTGTGTATTTGAACACTGAGTCCTCTGCTGGTGGTACTGTTTCATGATGTTGTGGAACTTTGAGGGTACAGAACCTAGTAGATAGATGTAGGTCATGAGGGACAGGTCTTAGGTTATGTGGCCCTGCTTTACTTCTGGTCTAAACTTGACTTCCTGGTCAGTGCCACATGAGAGCGAGTGAAACAGAGATTCACAGGACACAATTACAGTGGTCTAGACAGAAGATCAGTTGAACTTGGGCTAGGAAGTAGTAACAGCTGAAGGGTGAAAGTGGTCATGTCTTGGGTTTACTCTAAATGTAGAACTGATAGGATTTCCTAATAAGTTGGAAAAATATTCAGTTACTCCAAATGGGCCATGTGATCATGAACTGAGACCACTTGGCCAAGAGAAACGTTGCCGTTTCAAGTCAAAGCTGATTTTTATTGTCAATTTAATTTCTGTATCACTCATAATCCACTGTTAGTTAAGTATATTAAACTTTTTATTCCTGAAGGATTTCTCCATGAGAAAGTTGAGGCACAGAGAGACAACACTATTCAAGGACACACAACCATGGAGAGGGAGGGAGGTTCCTCTCCTTCTTTCACTCCACCAAACAGCTCCCACGGCCATTTTGACTGTAGGAACTTAGGAGTCTCCAGAGAAGAATTGCAATTTTTGAAGACTTGAAGGAATTATTTTCATTTTTTAAAAATTGGTGAAATAACTGGAGAGATGAATGAGAAGCAAATAGCCCCTTTCTTCTCATAATGCTGTTTTTAAGCATCAAAACATGCTATTTCTTTCCAAATCCTGAAATGCATGATTCTGGTGCTTTTTGTTGGCACACTTTCTGAAGTGTGATTTGAGTAATTACCTGTGTGCACACACACACTGCCAAGTTCTACCCTGAATAGAAGGATGCAGTTGAGGACATACAGTGAGAAGACACTGAAGCATGCCCATTTGTAAAGCGTGGATATAAACTATTTTGTGCTACTCACAGAAGCTAGACAGCAGTTTGGCTTCCTGTCCCAAACAGAATTCAATGGAATAAAAGGGTGTTGTGGGGCCTGAGAATTGGTTCAGCAGTTAAGAGCATCAGCTGCCTTTACAGAGGACCTGACTTTGGTTCTCAACAACCGTATCAGATGGGTTACAGCCACCTGTATACCAGGTCCAAGAGGTCTATCGCCCTCTTCTGGCCTCCACCAACACTGCATTCACATGGCACAGACCCACACACAGATAGTACACATAATTTACAAATACATTTCAAAGAAATTTGGTGTTAAACTTTTTTGATCATTGTAATAAACACCTGAGAAACAATTTAAAAGGTGGAAAGACTAATCTTGGCCTCGTGGTTTCAGAAGTTTCATTTGGTGGTCACTTGGCTTCATTATTCGGAGCCCACAGTAAGTTATAACACCATGGTAGTGAATGTGTAACAGAGCAAAGTTGTTCACCTCATGGCATCTGGAGAAACAGATGAATACAGGAGGGGACCATTGTCCCCAGTGAACTACTTCCTTCATCAAGGCCCCCATTCTACTGTTTCTAGACCCTCCCAAAACAGCACCACCAACTAGGGAAGCCTCAGCATGAGTCTGTTGGGGATAATTCATATTCAAACCGTAGCAGGGCTAAATATAGCCAGTGCCATAGGAAAAAGATATGCTAAGTGGGGAAACTCCTTAAGGACTTCATTCATTTTCTCAGTCTCTCTCCTTAAAAATCTGCCGTTATCCTTCCTGACTCCAGCCTCCCCTGCTGTGTATCATTGCTGTTCACCCTGCCACCGTTAGACTTTGTAACTTGTTATCATCCAGAGCTGTCGCCTCAGACATCTTGACCCTGAAATCCCTTTGCTTATCAACATTATCTAGCACTTACCAGCTTTCTTAAGGCCACCAAGCCTGCTTCTCTTCTTGCCTTCTAGGACCCTCTCCTCAACTCCATTGTCCCTCTACTGTGTTTTATCCCTTTCTTGGCCGTGACGCATTCTGCTGTGCTCTCAGTAGCCACTGTGTTTCCACCCCTGGTGCTTTTCCATTCCCACCCAGTCTTGGTGGCATCTCCACTTTTGTCTATACAATAAAATCTCAGTTCATGTGTATCTCAGGCAAGGCCCTTCCAAACTCTGTGAATATGTTCTGAATCCTCTTTGTGCTCCTCAGACCCCAGTCTTTCTCCTTGTCACTGTCACTGGTGCCCACCACTGCTTCAGGACATGGGGATGTCCACCATAGTTCTCACGACTTTCTTCTCCAGCTTTACTTAATTCTCCATCTTCTTTCCTGACAAAGAGGCAGCAGGATTCCCCTCCTTCCTCCAATAAAAAAACCAAGGTCTATGAAACCTGGCTCTATGATCCTCTCTTCCTACCATTTCCTCCGTGACTTAGCCCATGTTATAAACAAATGTTTTTATTTTATATTTTAAAAAGATTTTTTAAATCTTGTTACATACAAATTTTACATATTAATTACCTGCTCTGTGATGTTTTGGTTTATGTAAAACAATGGTGCAAAGTTTCAATCAAGACAAACATCTGTCTCCTCAAATATCAGTCACTAATTTCTGGTAATAACAATCAAAATTCTTTCTTTTCTTTTTAATTCTCTAGACTTTGCTTTGTATGTAGTAAGTATAAATATGTTTATAGCCCACCTACTTTAATTGTCATTATGAAACATCATCCCTCCAATTAGAAGCACAATATATTCAGTACAAATAATCTGAACACATAATCTATTTTCACCTTAAATTGATATTTTACTCCATACAACGAGTGTAACAAAGTTCTTTCATAGAAAAAGTTCAATATAGAGGTCCTTTTCAATCCCTTTAGGTTACCGTTCAATTTCCCTTGTCTTTCCTGGCAAATCCTTTGCCACCTATGACAAACCCCCGTTATGACAGGTACACCCCCTTTGGTGCTCTTACCCCCCGCAATATGCTTTCTATTCTTCTCACTTCCCTCTCTGCTTCATCCTTCTGGATTACTCTCCAAGAAGGGGGATTATTTAAAGTTTCTTCTCCATGAAGTCTAGTCAAGAAAGTTCTTCTGTGAAGCCATGTTGTTGCGTTGTCTTTTTCTATAACTCTCCTTTTCATTTTATGTTATTGAGATATAATTGGCACAAATGTTATCAAACATTTGAAAATTATGTAGCCTATGCAAACAATATCCAAATAAAGATCAATTTCTAACACTCTAGCCATCATCCTCACTCCATTCCAGTTGACCTCAACCTCTCCCAGAAACAATACTGTTCTGAATGGTGTTATCAGAGATTTCTTTTGCCTGTGTTTGAACTTGGTATCAGGGAGATCACACACATGGCGTGGGGTTGTATTTCTTTAGCATTGCAGCCTTTCAGTATTCACTCATGGTGTTACACTTATTGGAATTTTATTCTTCTTGATTGATGAACACTACAACTTGTCCATCCTTTTTGCCATTAGATGTATATTTAACCTCTTCAGTTTTCAGTATCTACTCACAAAGCTGTGTACATGCTGATACAAGTAGTTTGTTTATGGGCATGCACTTTATTTTCTTCTTGGGAAATATCTATGCCTGGGATTTTATAAAAATTGACAAGCTATTTTACAAAGTGACTTTCCCCCATTACTTTCTCTCCCTTCCCCCA